CAGACGATGGCGGTGTTGAAGCTCTTTTATTTGCCGTCAAACGGTTCACCACTGCCGTGTGTGTATCCTGTCGCAAAATGTGGCGAAAAGTCCAACACGACGGTAATAATTTGATTAAGGTGTTTACATGTCTATACTGCACTTCAGTAATGCGACTAAAATAGGAATACTCCACATGTCTTAATTCGATTAGTGTTTACTTCGATTATGACTTTAGCCGGATTAAGGTAATCAAAAATCTCTGTTTACATGGTAGATTCTTAATCATAGTATTGTCTTAATTGTATTAAAATCGGAGTATTGTTGTCCATGTAAACGTACTGAGTGTTGACAATACATTTCCGCGCTGTATGATTCTGTGTGCGCGCGAAGTGTGCGTGATGTACGAGCTACTGTCTGTAGCCTATGTGTGTGCATTACAGTGCAGCAGCGCATTAGATTAGAATGGTGATTAACTTACCTGTACAATAAGCTGTTTAAAACGTGCATTCTCCTGTTCAATTTCGAGCATCCAGTAATATAATCACACATGTCTTGTGGAGCGCTATCAGAGTATGCATTTATTTGTCATTTTAACTGTTTGGAAACTGAGCGTAAATGTGGAAGTCCTTCAAAGATTTCTTATCCTGTTGCGCCCTCTATAGGACCAGCGACTAGTCGACGTCAAGTTTAAAGTGTCATGGTAGAGCATTGAAGTCGATTAGTCGGTGCAACCCCTAATTTTAATATTGTTTTTAAAAGTATTCATCTTTGTTTGGATTGTGACTAAAATGCAGTGGTTACATCTCATTTCAAATAGCTACGAATTATTATTTTTTTTAAGGCTAGTATGGCCTATAATAGAGCAAATATACATCTTGATCTTGTTCATGTACTCTTTTGTTGTTTCTTATATCTTGCTTAAACTAAGAAAAAAGTATTGGCAATCGGAATTGGCCTTGAAAAATTATGATCGGTTTACAAGTATTGTCACTGGTAGTTCATGTTAACTAATGTGGTTAACTAATGTTAACAACTTGTACACTTATTCTGAAATGTTACTATTATAATAGACAATTAGTAGATTAGATAGTCCTGCCCCCAGCCGATGGGCTGGGCTGATTCAGTGCTGGGCTGATATTCATGAAACAGCAGTTTTGCTCTTGTGATGTTGCTTACTTACATCTTGAATCAGAATCAAGCATTCAGCAATGCCACAGCATAATAAAATAAAGTTCGTTTGAGAATCGTACTGTTCAGAGAATGTTTGTGCAGTGCACATAACGGAGTTCTGCATGTTTCAGCAACTTCTTTTCATTTGGTTTCTTCTATGTGCATATCCTTGTTGTATGTGTGTGTAGTTCTGAGGTTTGTAGGGCCTGGAGATGACCTCAAGTCCTGCAGATTTACTCAGATGATGGAGCAGAGACTGGAGAATGCTTTTGCTGAAGCAGAGGCCATATTGATGAACTCACACAGCGGTCTCACTGTACAGGTGGGAGGGCCTAAACTTTAAATTACCTTTATTTTACCTTTATTTATTTTGTATTTCAAATGAGGAGGTTTTTGTTTTGTTCTGTTCTTTTTTGGGGGGGAAATGCTGACAATTCCATTTTGTTGATTTTGGTAAAGGTCAGTCTGAGCACTAGTAAAATATAACACATTTTCTGATTCTCGCTCCTCTTTTCTCACAGATCTTGAGCACATCACAGACTATGGGTTCTCCTGCTGTATCTCTGATATATGTGGTGCATAATGGCAGTGTCACTCTCAATGGCACAACTGCCAGTAACCTTCTCAGCCAACTGACTGCTGAGCTTGTCGGTTACTTCCTGTTTTACCCTCCACTGATCACAGCTGAGCGTAAGTTCTCCCTGGCATTCCTCAATTATACAAATAGGATGTAACATATGCAATTGTTACACTTTTTTATTTCCTTTTATATTCCTTTTGGGAAAAGTGTTGGTAAAGGATGCAGAATTTACATATAATATATAATAAAGATTAAAATTATATAAATCAGTTGAGTATGATTCAGTATGGTCAATTTTTTGTTCATATTTTTGTAAACCTGAAAGAAAACACACACACACACACACACACACACACACACACACACACACACACACACAGCATTAATGCTAAATATGTTTTTTCAGACATGATCATCTGAACATGTTAGAGGCATAAAAAGATAGATGATTTTCTACCAGAGAGAGGTTTCTGTTTGGTTTGTAGTGTTCACAGGAGGTGGAAACAGGTTCATGCATACATGGGCCAGGGCACAGCACGCACATCAAAGCCAATTACAGGGAATAATAATTAACAGTAGGGAATAACGGATACACTTATGTGTGTGTCTGTGTGGAAAGAACATGGTTCCACATGCAACTGTAATGTGATGGTGAGAATATCACACACCTCACTGTCACAGTTTTGCTCATACTGACTGTGAGGTCATTTGCTTTCTCCTCACAGTCCATTCTTATCTGCTTTGTCTCTGCTTTGTTGAAGTTTCTGTATTTATATTTAATTATTTAGCAGATGCTTTTCATCCAAAATGAGGACAATAGTAGCAATCAAACCAACAAAAGAATAACAATATTTGACCCTGGCTGTGAAAACCCAGCTAAAGTCTTTTTTTTTTTTGGTGATTTACTGTTTTCTACATAAAACCATCCTTCATAAGGTAAAGAACATTCTGTGAAAATGTAACCTTGATATCTTTAATATCGACTGAGCAGGATCAAAGCAATGTCTTTGGAAACAAGCTTTCTTATCTATTCTCCCTCTCTACAACAGTTTATCTTGCTTTCTTTCTCGTCCCTCTCACTATCTTCCCTCTTCAGCTCTGGAATACCACAACCTTAACACATCTATAGCAACCAGGCCATTTTGGATAATCACAGGTAATCGTCTCACTAATGTTGTTCATTACTAGCCATATGAGTGAAAGAGCTTGATTTAGAGGGAACATTTGTTTCTTTTCTGTTTGCTCTGTTGACATTTCTGACACCCGCCCACCTCTTTTGTTATGGATGACTGATATTTCCACAGTTCCTCCATTATGAAAGATGATTTTCACTCCCATCCCTGTTTTATGGGATTTTAAAATCAGAATTGGTTTTGTGGTTTTTACTTCATGTCTGTTTACTTTAAGATCATCTATAGTATATGCTTATACTTCACAAATAAATAATTCTCAAATAAACAATAATTGAAGATGTTTTGTTTTGTTGTGATATATTACACACATTTTTGTCATGCATGACAAATACTTAAGCAATTTACTCCAGTGGATTTGTATAATAACATGCTGTTGTTCTATGCCAAGATTAGATCATTTAACTTTCTTTCTGTTCTTCATAAACACATCAAACACATCAATCTTCTGAACCGCCTCAGTATAATTGAACCAATTATACTGTCTAATTATTTATAGTTAATCAAGATTTGAGTAATGCTGTCTTTAGTAATGCTAGTACTCAGGAACTCTTTGAGGTTTCTCTGGACTTACTCTGATATTGACAGAGTAGGTGAAGTTCAACACCATTAAGAAGTAACTAGTGTGCACAAGATTGTGTTGCAGTGCATCAGTCCAAAAGAAGTGAAATAAAGTGCATCCATCCATAATAAAATTGGGGGGTGAACAAAGGCCTCCTGTAGTGAAATGCGTTTTTGTAAGAAAAATAACCATATTTAAAACGTAATAATCAATTTAATCAAGCTTGCGCTCACTGTTGTACATGGAAGCAGCTCTGGGCGGATGGCGTAGGACATCCATGCGCCACTCAGAAGTGACGAACGCGGAAGCACAGGGGA